GTAGACAAGAATATCGTCAATAAAGACAATAACAAACTGATCGAGGTAGGAATGGAAGATACGGTTCATGAGGTCCATGAAAACTGCTGGCGCGTTGCTGAGACCGAATGGTATGACGACGAACTCGTAATGGCCGTAACAAGTTCTGAAAGTGGTCTTAGCGATATCTGACTCCTTAATCTTCAGCTGATGATAGCCTGATCGCAGATCAATCTTTGAGAACACACAGGCTCCCCTCAGCTGATCAAATAAGTCGTCGATCCTGGGAAGCGGGTACTTCTTCTTTATCGTCAACCGGTTAAGGTCCCGGTAGTCGATACACATGCGCATGGATCCGTCCTTCTTCTTAACAAAGAGAACGGGTGCTCCCCAAGGTGACACACTCGGTCGTATGAAACCGAGTCGTAACAGCTCCTGAATTTGCGCCTTAAGCTCCTGCAACTCCTTAGGCGCCATACGGTACGGGGCTTTGGATATCGGACCGACCCCTGGAATAAGGTCTATAGAGAACTCCACCTGCCAATTAGGCGGTCCTCCTGGGAGCTCGTCTGGGAAAACGTCCACAAACTCTCGAACGACTGGAACATCGTGAGGTGAACGCGCTTTCTGAGAATCATTAACGAGGCTCACCAGATAACCCTGGTAGTTGCCTCGTCGCAGCAACTTAGTGGCTTTCGCCATCGAAACAACATGAGGCAAAGAACGGTTTCTGGAGCTGAAGAAAGTAATCGGCTCGTCTTTCGGAAGATAAAGAGTAATCTCCCGGTCGCGACATTTGATGTCCGCATGATAAAACGTTAGCCAATCCATTACGAGAATAAGGTCTAAGTCCTTCATCTCGAGAACAAATGCGTCGGTAGACAAAACTCGGCCACCGATGGAAAGGCTAAGATCTGAGGCTTTAGCTGAAGTCACTATCTTTCTTCCCGAGGCCAAACTCACCTCGAGAGGATCGATAGCGGTAGTAGCGCGAACTCCGATGGCGTCAAGACATCGTCGTGAAATGAAAGTATGCGTCGTTCCGGTATCAAATAAAGCAAACACAGGAACATTATTAAGAATAACCATTCCGGACATGGTACCTGGCTGCTGCTCGGCCTATGCCTGATCGATGGCGTAAACTCTGGCCTGCTGTCTGCCCCTCTGCTGCTGCTGCTGAGGCTGCCTCTGTGCCTGCTGACGGGGCTGCTGCTGCTGCGGTGGCTGCTGAGGCTGCTGAGGCTGCTGCGCCTTCTTCGGACAACGGTTTGCAAAGTGTCCGGCCTCGTGACAATAGTAGCACACATCCTGACCAAAGCGACACTCGCCTCGGTGAAGTCGTCCACATGTCGGGCATTGTGGAATCTGCTGTAGCCTCCGACGGGCCCTCTTATCTGCCTGGGCACCTTTATCTTTCCTCTTGTTGTTCTTGGGCGGCTGGGTAGATGGTAAAGCTGACATCGGTGGAACTGAAGATGACTGAGCAGGGACGGATGGATGAATCTGACTGCGAACTGCCTTCCTCCTAAGGCTAGCATCCACCTCCTGAGCAATGGAGACTGCACGTGCATATGTTTGTGTCCCGCGGCCTACGATGTTATGACGGACTGCTGGGTAAAGCCCGTCAATGAAACGCTGCGCTCGCTGGGCCTCCGTGCGGACCAAATCAGGAACAAAAGCTGCAAGTCTCGTGAACTCTCTCTCATACTCGTCGACAGTACGAGTACCCTGCTGGAGCGATAGAAACTGACGCTCCATCTCTGCTCGGTAGTATGTGGGATAGTACTTCTCACGGATTAACTCCTTGAGCATCTCCCACGTACATCCCGCTTTCTCACCGGGACGCATGATCCAGTAAGCGTTCCACCAGAGCCTGGCATCACCAGTGAACTGAAGCTGAGCACAAATGACGCGATATCTCTCAGGGCACTCCATGACCTCGAAGATAAACTCCATACCCTGAATCCACTCGTCCACTACGCGTGGATCTCCCTGCCCTGAGAACTTTTCGGCATGGTAGTCGTGGAACTGGGCGACCACTGTAGCCTGAGTAGGAACCGGATGATCGGGTTCCCTACGTGGCGGCATCTGAACATTGAAAAAGTTCAAAATTATTGAACACGTGAAAATATATCCTGACTGATTACTAAGGCACAAAGATCTCTTGACGAGTTGCCAAAAATGGTCGATAAATACTGACATGAATCCTGAAGAACTCTAGAGTCATATCGGAGGATACTAATTTCTAGAGTCATATCTGAGTGTACTGATTTCTAAAGTCAGGTCTGAATGTACTGAATTCTAGAGTTATATCCGAACTCTAAAGTCTGAACCTGATTTGAGCATCTTAACTAAGTCTGATTACTGATTTCTGAGCATAGACAAAGTAATATGTTTATAACTGAAAAACTGAATCAGCACTTACCTGGAGTCGGCGAGGCGTGAGCGTGACGGTTCAGGTTTTTCTGAAAATTATTGACTGAAAAACTTTCCAGAGACGCAGAAACGTGCCCTCTGATACCAATTGTAACACCCCGACTTTTTACCATACCAGAGTACGCGATTTTTCGCAAATTGTTTTTTTTTAATAAATAAATAAAACATTAATTTTTGCGAAACTGATTCGGGATGCTACCGTGAAGAAAACTTGATTTTTGGAAACCGTTAAAATTTAAACTGATACGTAAAAACGGTCATAATGTCTTATCCGACTAATGTCGGAGCAAAGTCTGATAATAAGTACTGAAAAGTTTTAGCGGAAACAAAGCGTGGCTAAACATAAATACAATAATCATAAATGTCCTGAACAGCTCGCCCGCTCACTCCTCATCTCCGACCCTGCGCCCTGAAAAATATGAAAGGTGTGGGGCGTGAGCACTAAAACACTTGTGCTCCGCAGAAACTCATACTAATGTAAACATCATAAATAATAACAATATCATGAACTAAGCATATAAAACTGAACTAAAACTGAAACTGATATCTGAAATCTGAAACCGGTCTGATCTCGCGACATAAGTCACGTAACTGATAACTGAAAACTGTCGGCACAAACTAATAGCGCAATCTTCCGGCAAAAACTAATACCGGACCATTTGCACACTCTAGTGGTTAGATTATGTAACACCCCTCCTTATCGTAAAATCAGAGTGCGCAATAATTCGCAAAGTTACTTAAAAATAAAACCTTTTTACTTTGCGAAAACTGATTCGGGGTGCTACCTTTAAAAATCGTGACTTAACTTAGAAAACCGTTGTTTTAATTTTTAATAAAATCGTCCGGTTACTGAAATTATAAGTTCTCAAAGTTCGTCAAAACAAGTACGTCAAAAGTCATCAAACATCGTCAAAAGTCATCAAAGTATCATAAGCGGAAGCATAAGTCATCATCATATTTATACAGTCCAAAGTATAAATATCCTGAAGTCCCCGTCACGTCACGTCACCTCCCGGCCCGACGTCCTGACCTGAAAAACATGATAAAACTGGGGAGTGAGCACTATGGCACTGTGCTCCGTGGAAACTCATACTAATGTAAAACATCGAAAATAATAAC